TCTCACCTCTGCCCTCCTACATGGGTACAGATAAGCACTCCTTTTGGTGGGGGGAAGAAAAAGCCTTAGAAAGCCAGCTTCTGGGGTTAGCAACGAGTAAATGGCATAAGAAATTATAGACATTAACCAAAAATTAGTAGATCTGCATAAATTAAATTAGACAGTGTCTGAGACCTTTAACAAAATATGCTATAAAGAAATAAAAAAAATTTATAGAAAGGTTTCTGTTAATTCTCCCATCAGAGAAAAAGTTTTTGAGTGAGAGATAAATTAGAGCTTTGAAGGAATTTCTTCATTTTTCCTTGTTGAACTTGACTGTATTTTAATAGGTCATTGAAATACTCTCAGATGGTAGGATTCATGTGGCCCTTGTAAATGCCAAGAGCTACAATAGTTAATTTTGATGTTTAACAAGCCTCTCCACTTTGGACTACATAGCCAAACTACAATCATGACAGCCCAAAGCTCATTTCTGCACGAAGACTCAGGAACTGGATTACGGAAATGAGACCTTTTGGTACAGTCTCCCATAATGTAGTCTTGAGGGCCAAAGCCTTCTGAAGGGTATCAACATTCAAACCCTTCTATTTCTCTTGGCGGCTTTCTCCATCCTTAACTTACTCCTGGATATTTCAATTAAGAGTTAAGTGAGCAGCTTTACCAACTGAGCTTCTTATATTAATGTCAACTGCTTAAAAATGCCAAATACTCAAAAGAGAACGTATTCAGCTTCCAGTCTGTAAAATGCCTTCTGCTGGACTGCTGGGGCAAAAAGCAGACAGAAATCCTGCCTATATGGAGTTTCCCATCTACCAGTGAGAAAAGAAAAATACATGAATGGTAAAGTAAATAATCAATTAGAAGTTTAATTAAATAGTTCAAGATATGTTAGAAGGCAGCCCATGATTAACTATCAAATGGATTTACACACTACTGAGAGAGAGGTCATCTATTCACTCATCAATCATTTATTGGTATTTACACTGGGCCAGGCTTTATTCCTCCTTATACAGGTTTTTGAAACTTCAGATTCATACATTCAACTTCCTACTGGACATCTCCATGTATAAACCTAATAAGCATTTCAAACTCAACATCTTTATATTGAACTTAGCTACTCTCTCCCAACCTTCTTCTCCTGTAGTCTTCCCTACCTAAATGGCAACTTGGTCCTTCTGGATGTTCAGGATGTAGGAGGCACAGTCAACCCTGACTCCTTCTTTCTGTCACACTTTATATTCAATTCATAAGCAAACTTGTTGGTTCTATTTCTGAAATATATCCAGAATCCAATCACTTCTTGCAACCTTGACACAAACCATCCATGTCTTTTGCTGGGATTACTGCAATAGCTTCCTGATTAATGGTCTCCCTGCTTTGACCCTTGACCCTTTGCAGCCATAGATCATGTTACTCCTGCTTAACACCCTCCAAATTAATGAGTGTATAGTTAATATAGGACTTACTATTCACCGGGCACTGTTCTAAGCTCTTTGCAAGTATTAACTTACTGAATTCTCACAGTAACCTTACACGGTAGGTACTGTTGCTCTCTGCATTTTTTCAATGAAGAAATGAAGTCACAGGACAAGTCATTTGTCAAGATCACACAGCTAGTGAGTGGCAGAGATGAGACTCAAACCCTGACATTCTGGTTCCACAGTCCATGCTCTTAACCTCTGCACCTGCTCCCTGCAATGTTTCCTTTCTCACTCTTGGAAAAAGCTCAGGTCTTCATGACAGCTGTGAAGCCTTACACGATCTGTCCCCCATAAACTTCCCTGGCCTCACCTTCCACTGTTGTATCCTTGGCTCAACCAGTCACACTGGCCTCCTCACTGTTCCTCAGACACCCCAGCTTCTTCTCATATTAGGGCTTTGCACCTTGGCTGGTCCTTCTGCCTAAGAAAGGGGTATGGCTCACTCTACCTCCTGCAGGTCTTTCCTCAAATGTCACTTTTTCAGTTATTGCATCCCTGGTCACACTATTGAACATCTTAGCAGCTTATCTAGGGACTATTCTAAGCACTTAAAGTGTACTTTATTACACCCACAAAACAGCTCTAGATTGGTAGAATTGCTATCCCCATTAGGTGAGGAAAAAGGGACACAGAGAGGTTAAATGGCATGCCCAAGGTCACACAGCTGACAAGTGATAAAGTCAGAATCAGGATTCAAACTTCAATGCTCTGGTTTCAGAATCTGTGAGCTTACTAAAAAAAAATACACACACACGCACATACACACACATATGAAAATCAATATACAAAACTTGGTGACTAATGGGCAATGGGAAGATGAGAAAACAAAACAAAACAAAACAAAGCTTGTACAGAAGCTTAGAGCCAGAGTGAAAAAATGGTTAGCAAGTATAAGAATATCAGGTGGAAGGAGAGGAGGTGGTGAGTTTAGACTCTCATCTTCCTGAGCCAGGTTTCTCATAGTGTCACCTAAGGTACTCTGTCAGAATCACTTGGGGGTGCTTGCTCCAAGTACAGATTCCCAGAACTTCTCATATACAGACTTTGGGTCCAGGAGCTCAAGGATCTGCATGAATAAAAACTCCTCCTAGGTGATGTGAAACCCGCAAAATTTTCAAACCACCATCTTGGGAGACAGAAAATATTTTCATTGATTTAACTTTATACACTAAGCACCACTACCCTTATTAATAACGAGATCTGCAAAATGTACTAGCACCTAAAACTTTGCAACTTAGGGCAGAAATCTTTGATGGTTTTGTCCATTGATGGATTCCAAGCACCTGGAACAGTACTTGGCCCATATTGGGACTGCAATAAATAATTGTGGAATGTGTGAACTCTGGAGTAACCCAGAGGAAATTTTCAAGATACACAATGACTCTGTATGAGCACATTTTACTCTGAGTGGTTCAAGATTTCCATCAGACTTCTTATAAAAATTCATTTTATCAGTTTTGCTGTTATTTCCTCAGGAGTGTGAACAGAGTGGAAAGTTCATGGCTTTTGGAATCATTGATCTAAGCGTGATTTGAATGCTGGCATTTAGCAGCTGTGTGATGTTAACAAGATATTCAACCTTTCTGAACCTGTTTCCTTCATCAGTCAATTCTTCATCACCTCATTTAGTGTCCATAAAATTTCTACACAAATCAAAAGGATCCTTGAAAAAATAAGAAATTATCATCAGGTGATTTTCAAAAACAAATTCTCGGTTATTTGGAAATATAATTTTTTTTGCAAATTATTAGTTGTGAAACCTTATAGCCCAATTACTAAAAGGGACATGAAAATCAACTACATTGTATATTGATAAATTAAAATAAAAAAATAAATTTTTAAAAAAATTATTTAAAGAAAAAGAACGAATGACTGATAATGGAACAAAACAAATGAATCTCAAACAGGCTGCATAAAAGAATCCATCCATATACAAAAAGTACCTACTGTGAGCTTCCATTTGTACCAAGCTCAAAAGCAGGCAGAGTTACTTCATGCTGATCAGAATCAGAACTGTGGTCACTGGAAAGGGAGGGAATTGATTGTAAAGAGTCATGAGAGAACTTTCTGGGTTGATGAAATATCCTGTTATCTTGATTCTTGATGGGATAAAGCTACATGGGTGTATACAATTATAAACACTCAAACTTAAAAAAAAAAAGAAAAGAAAAGAAAAAAATGACTGATTAATCACTAAATGTCATGAACACACAAAGCTATAGAATGTGTTAATGTTATTAACAAGAGTTCAACTTGGAAAACAAAGGTCTCTTTGACCTTTGAACTATCTCAAATTCTTTTAAACTTAAATTTGTGAAAACTTATGGGAATAATGAGCATAAAATTATTCTTCCCTAGTACTTCCTCTTAGAGATAATTATAGCCTATACTTCAAGAACAATATTGCTTTTTGAAAATCAGGTATTGATTTGTTGAGGAAGTTGGCATAGAATGTTATAGCTTAGTAGTCTGTCACTCAGAGGCACAGTCCTAGCCAAATGACTTTCATTTAAAAACTTTTAGTGTAACAGGTATTTTCCATTCATTATTTACTAAATCCTTGATATCTGAACATTGAAATCTAAGAGAAAAAAGTCGATTGTGCTGAAGCCACCCAGAGTTCGATGCCTCCTCAATTTTGGAAACTTTAGAACACCATCTATTTCCTAAAAGGGAATTTCAGTGACTAAGCAGAAAAACCTAAAGTAAGGAAAAACTCTATCCTCTACTTTATTCTTGCTGATCAAACAGATGCACAAAAAATGGAGCAACATTGTCTATTACCATTAAAGCCCAGACTAAAATGTAATTTGACATGTGGCAAGAAACAGCTTTCCAATTAAGACATCAGGTGCTCCACAAAATTCTCAATACTTCATAGTGATTTAATGCCTAAGTTAATCATTTTGGAAAAACATTTCTGTTGCAGAGTCAGAAATAAAAGTGCCAGCTACCCTGAAGTTAGAAATCTAATGACCAGCATCTACGCAACATGATTGGTTACACGTGACATAAAATTTGAGGCTCTTTTTTCAAGAAAACATTTCTGTTGCAGAGTCAGAAATAAAAGTGCCAGCTACCCTGAAGTTAGAAATCTAACGACCAGCATCTACGCAACATGATTGGTTACACGTGACATAAAATTTGAGGCTCTTTTTTCAAGTTAGAATTTAAAATAAAATCCACTTAATTGCACCAAACTGAAAAGATTTCTCCTTTTCTGCATGAAAGTTCATAACACACAAAATGTTAGACAAAAGAGAATTTCTAATAGACTGATAAACTGCAGCTTTTCATGATAGATCTAAAAGAAAAACAATCTACTCTTTGAATCATACAAATAGTTCTGAAAACCTGCTCTTTGAATAATACAAATTTTCTCCAAACAGTACAGCAGAGTAGTAAACTCTAGGTCACACATTTCTTTATCTACAGCTGAACACCAAAAAACCCCTAAATTGCAACCTCTCTATAATAACGGTTCCATCAACGGCGGTGGCTTTGCCACGGATACCATACCATTATGATGAGGGTTCTGGGTCTGTTCATTTCATTGTCACTTTCCAGAGGCAAAATTTCATGGGATGGTTCCTCCTGGCGTCGTCTACAAATGTGTGGACAGCTCCTCTGGACCACAGAGCGAAAAGCTTGAAGCAGAACAATGCTGGCAGTGCAGCCCATCCCTGCATCCTGGAGCCTACAAAATAACTTCTATGTTGATGCTATGTTTGAAAAACAGTGGCTCCTTGTCCCTGAAAACAGCCTACACTGCAGCTGCAGCCGGCTCACTCTCCAATCGCTTCCTTGAGCTCTGATCATCTGATCACGGCCAAATAGCTTGGATGCAGAGATGGGAAAGATTTGATCCACAGAAACTGAACACACTCAGGAATATTTAGAGCATTTCGCCTAGAGAGTATTTCTCAATTCATTTCAAGAGCATGCTTCCTGTTCATTACAATGACTCTCTTCCATTCCTGGTTCAGAGGTCTGAATAAATAAATCTTTCCCACTCAGACACACAAATAAATCACTTTTCCAAATTACACAACTGAAAATCTGACTTCACACTGATATTTTTTTCATGGGCAAATGAGCATCTTATAAAGAGTGAAAATGATTGTTTTTTTTAAAAATGCAAACATTTCCTCAAGGAAATATTGCTGTACACTTCATTAAGTGATTGGGGTTTTACTTTTCATAGTTCATAAGTTCCAGAAATAAAATTGGCTCATCTGAAACACAGAGTACACTAAATCAAGATTTACAAAAGTATGCACGCGTTAACCAAACCCATGTGACAGCCACCAGTGTTCCCCTGTGATTTCCCTTCAATAGTATGGTTGTTCTGTTCCCACACATGCAATTCTGCAGCCTAATACATTTTTATATTTACATAGGCAGCTTGCAGGGCTGAAAATATCTCTCTTGCTGAGGTCAGTCAGTGAGCTCTGCCAAGCTGACCTCTTAGAAAAAGCAGCTGTAAAGCATTTTAATATCTTATCAATAAGAATTCAAGGCTTCAGGAAGGACTCTGAGGTCTTTGGTAGTTAAGAGTCTAATATTCCCTGACTCTGTTGAGACTAGTCACTTAGGAGGGAATAAGAGAGAAATGCTTAGAAATCACGTGAGCCATCTGGAATGGCCTCAAGATCTAATGGTATACTGAAAGGAACAGGACAGCAGGGGATTGCTTACACTCAAAATAACTCATGGAAAATGGATTTTGCTTATAAATGAGGAAAATATGAAATTCCCAATAGAACCTTCAATGTTGGGATCTTTCTGCCAAGCTAATTCTTACAGTATAACTCCCGGAGATTAAAAAAAAAATAAAAGTATGCTTTTGATTTCTGGGCTCCTTGGTGTGCAGGGTGCTGCAGGAAGTTTGGGGAAGGTTTGTTTTGCTGTAAGGTGTGACCACCCCAGACCCAGTAAAGTTGCTTTTGCAGAAGCATCTAGCATAATGCTCAATTAGGCATTAATTGCTCAGAAATCTGTCACAACACAGCATCATTTTAATTGGTATGTTTGCCAGAGAAGTGAAACATGTTTCTTTTTCCTTTCTTTTAAGAGGTACTGGCTGCCAGTAGTTTTTCATCTCTCTATGTTTTGAGCAAACATATTTTAATGCTGCTGGAAAAAGAAGAAAAAAATGCTAATGGTGCTGGCAAGTCCCCTAACTCCCTCTGGACCTTTGTCAGAGTGCCCGGGTGCTAATCTAAACCATTTTTACTCCAAACAACTAGGGCATTTATTGAAGAGAGGCTACAATTTAGCCTGTCTGGCTTGTGTTTATTGAATATCTATATAGATAGTGGTGTCCACCAGAGCCAAAATACAGAGTGGGCTTCCACTATGAATGTGTCTTTCCAAATATGATTGTTCCTCCGGGCTCCCTGTATGTCAATTCCCACACCCCAAAACCCCATCCACTCCCATACCCCTTGAGGTATCACTCCCCAATCACCTCCTTAGGTTCTGAACATCTGCTCATGACTGCAGAGCTTGAATGCAGCCAGGTGCTAACTGGAAATGCTTAAACACTCCACCAAGTCTAGTTGGAACCTGGAGAGGGAAGACAGATACCTCAGCCACACCATGGGCGGCAGGGAAGACACACTCCACATCCCAAACTCCTTTCTAGCCACCTCTCTCTAAAACTGGCTAACCTCTGGGGTGGCTTTTGGAGTCAGACGTTTTGGCAGATGCTAATGTCTTTAGAGAAACGAATGAGATGCTTTCTAGCTATCAGAGTCCTGTTTTCTTCGATCCATTCTTTGCCTCTGAGGAATTCACCCCTATTATTGACGTGCTGCTGAGGGACTCTCAGTGTGATCTCTCTCTCCCTTTCTCCCTCTTTTAGTCTCTATTATCAAATTAAGGGAATGTCCAAGGATTTGTTTCTTTGGAATTCAATACACACCACAGTTGCCCAATGAAAAGAAACAAAAAAGATGAAAATCAGGAAATAAGATTTGGACATGTTCAACTCTTATGATGTTGGCTAAATGTTTGCCAACATTTTCTCATGACAAATTTCAAATATGCAGCAAAGTTACAAGAAAGGGGTTGAGTTCTCAGCTCTAAGTTTTAAGTAGTAAATTAAGCTGGGGGTGGGATGAGGTGGGGGAGGAGATAGAAATCCACCCAAGAAGATATTGCCATGTTTTCCTGCATATTTAGCATATGTGATACGTAGGAAATGTTAAAGATGAGGTATAAACTCTTCAGCAGGTATCTTCTATTTTCATTTGAACTAGTAATAAAATTAATCATTAATTTGGCCTCTAAACCTCCAATGTGCATGGATTCATTAACATATAACTTTCGGAGACTCTCCTTTGCTCTCTTGCCTGCCTCCTTTCCCTAGCTGGGTCTTATTTCATGATTCAATAAGATATTTACTAAATTTAAAATGCTAGAAGCAAGATTTTTAACTTATTGTCCTAGATGAGAAAAAAATGTGACTAACAATTTGTAAGGCTAAATTTTTCAAAGAAGTGTTGGGAACTAGATTTCCTTCTGAGTTATTAAATATCCATTAAATTATATTAAATGTTATTTAATACATATATAAGTTCATTCAGCATCTACAAAACATTAAATTCACGTATAGTGAAGAACTTTCTTGTCTCTAAGCAGAGATAGCCATACTATGCAGATATGGAGTAGCCTTAGGGATCACAGGAAATGACAGGAAGGGTGGAGGAAGATGTTATTGACAAGTTAAGGTATACCAGGGAGAAAGATAATTGCAGGAAGAAAAAGTAAGAAGGAAGAAGATAAAAAAGAAGGTAGAAGGAATGAAGGAACAGAAGTAAAAACCACGTCTAAAATATCCCTGAGTAGTGAGCTGGGAGGGTTGCTGCTCCTGTCTCAGGAGACTACTTACTAGCTGTTGGCTGCTCTTCTCTTTCTGACAAATCCTGACAAATAAATTTAGTTTGCAGACCAGTGTTCTAAAATTTTTTGGCGTGAGAATTATTTGGCACAAGATGTAGATATTTCCACCACTGGGATAATACATCCAAAGATTTTTTTTACAGTGGGCTAGGAAATACATATTTAATTTAAATAAATAATGCCTGTTGAAAGTGTTGTACTTTCCCAGCTTTGTTAAATTATGTAAGAGTTATATATCTAAATCTATATATCTAATCCATCTTGAGATATCTAAATCTATCTTGACCGTGTTGAGCTGGATTACACTTGCAGATGGTGGAGGTGAAGTCCATGATCTCCTCCCCCACCCCCCGCCCCCCAGACCTGTTGCATCTGAGTCTTCTCCTGGTGCATAATGCTGACCTACCTGGATGGGGTGAAACTTTCTGCCATCTTCTATAAGGTGTCAAGTACACTGAAACCTACTGCTGATAACAAAAGGTTGTCTTGTAAAAACAAAGAAGAGCTTAGATGAAATAAACAAGAAATTAAGCCTAATGAGATCAGCCTTAAGCACTTTTTGGATACCCCTGATACTGCAGTGCTTGGTTTCACTGCTTCCTATACCCTGAGTGCCTGGTTACTATTTCAAGAGCATAACAGTCATGATTAGAACTTATTTGTGGAGAGAAATTTATGGAAAGTCTGAGATTTTGAGAGTAGAAGACTGTTAGGAACTGAATTGTGTCCTCCCCCAATTCACACATTGATGCTCTGACCCCTTAATGTGACATTATTAGGAGATGGGGCCTTTCAGGAGGTAATTAAGGTTAAATGAGGCCATGGGGGGGGCCCTATTCACTAGGGCTGGTGTCCTTATAAGATGAAGAAACACCAGATACCTCTCTCTCTTTCCATGTGTGCAGGAGGAGGAGGCCATGTGAGGACACAGTGAGAAGACAGCCGTCCACAAGACAGCAACACAGAGGCTTCATCAGACACCAACCCTAATGGCACCTTGCTCTTGAACGTCCAGCCTGCAAACCATGAGAAAATTAATTTCTGTTGTTGAAACCATCCAGTCTGTGGTATTTTATTAGGGCAGCCCAAGGAGGCTAATGCAAAGACGTTGCATGTGAAAACCATATTCTAACAATGAAGCTTCAGGTGAATGTCACTGCGACCTCCCCAGGGCGCATTAAGCCCACCTACCTCCCTGCTTCCAAAGCCCAAAGGCTCAGGAGTTACTTGAGAAGTTGCTTCTAGCTGCATCTGCAGGCCCTCTGGCCACCAGAACGTGGTTTTACCATATTTGGCATCTGGAGGCCCTGACTTCTAGTTCAAAATGGGGAATGGAGCACATTTGTTTACCTCCCTCCTTCCCAAAGTCCAAGCAAAAATGACAAAAAAACAGTTTAAAAGGGAATATATTGACTACATTAATGAGGAAGGGGATGGGGAGAGGGCTTCCTCGGGAGATGAAAATTTCTGAGTATTTCTGAAAGATGAAAAGCAAATGTGATCACCTTGATCAATAACCAAAAATAAAGGATTTAGACACAACTTCCACGCACAGCAGGAAGATGCAGCAGATGGGAGCCACTGCTCTGGACAGCGCCCAGGAGGGGCTCTAAGCTTGAGGAAGTAGGTGCTGGATGTGAGACTGTGCCCTCCCACCCTATCCTCAACCAATTCACACATTGATGCTCTGACCCCCTAACACCAGAGCACCCGACAGTGGCTCTCTGCAGAAGGGCCACTGCTTCCAGAATACCTAGCATAGGTCTCTGGGCTTC